GTCAGAGACATTAGTGTTTGCAACTCTTGTGACTAACAGCCAAGTCCAACCCCAGCATCCCCCTTGTCACTCACCACCAGCAGAAAGGCTGGAGGTATCTTCCATTCCCTGAGTCAAACGTTCTTTGGCAACAGGGACTACACATCCATGTCAGTCACTTGGAACCATGTCGCAAGCATTTACTGTTTATCCTGAGCCTCTCTTTCATTCATCCCAATGGATTCTGGACCCGAGCTGTCCTCGGCTGTTTGGAACAAAGACCTGGACCATTTGTTCAAGGTACAAAATTTATGAAGAAACCACTAAGCACCGCTCACTGTGCTTTAGGATGAATATATGGCAAGAAAATTTTTAAAGAATTATCTCCCCTCTATGCTCACCCTTTAGAAGTGAAGACGAAACGAATAAAATAGAAAATGTGGATGTTGGAGATGTTCAATGACACAGTCTATAACCCAAGAAGAGAGGTGTAACTTTCTGGGGAAGAGAGGTGGATAAGCCAACGAATTAAAACAAATTGGGACCAGTTAGCATGGCTTAGTGGTTGAGCATTGACCTATGACCCAAGAGGTCCCATGTCCAAGTTGTGGGCTTATCCCCAGTGTGGGGCATGTAGGAGGCAGCTGATGAGTTATTCTCTCTCCTCATTGATGTTTCTATCTCCCTCTCACTCTCCCTTCATCTCTGAAATCAATAAAAATATTTTTAAAAAATAAATAAATAAAATAAATTGGTTAAGTAATTTCCTGGTGGACAGAAAATCTAAAATGCTATTATGTTTACCTGCAGAGACTTAGTTCTCAAACAACAGATTTGATTTATTAGCTAGCTTTTAGATAAGATTGTAAGAGAGCTCCAGAAAATATAGAAAAGAAAAAATAGAATGCTTGCTCATAACCTGGCATCATATTCAGGAGGGTACACCTTGTTAACACTCCAGGGCTATTTGTTTCAATCAAACTTGGCTTACAATAAAAAGAAACTCAATCTTATTATCTTTATTATTAATATACTCTAATTTTTAGAACACTTTTATATTGGCTGAAAATTTTGAAACAGAGAGTTTATTTCCTATATACCCCCTCTCCCCTCAGTATCCCCTGTTAATTAACATCTTAATTAGTGTGGAACATTTGTTATAATTGATGAACCAATATTGATACATTATTCAGAACTAAAGTCCATGGTTTAACTAGGGTTCAGTTCCTATTGTGAAATTCTGTGGTTTTGGACAAATGTGTAATGCCACATATTCATCATCACAGTATCATGCAAAGTAGTTTCATTGCCTTAAAAACACCGGTGCCCCAACTATTCAGCCATCCCCTCCTATCCTGAATCCTGATGATTACTGATATTTTAATTGTCAATATGGTTTTGCTTTTTCTATAATGTTATATATTTGAAATCATACAGTATGTGGCTGTTTCAGAATGGCTTCCTTCACTCAGCAATATCCTTGTAGTTTCCTCCATGTCTTCTTGTGGCTTGATAGCTCAATTCTTCTTCTTGCTGGATAATATTCCACTGTATGGGTGTGCCAGAGTTTGTTTATTCATTCACCTTTTGAAAGACATCTTGGTTACTTCCAGTTTGGGGCAATTATGAATAAAGTTTCTAAAGTCATTCATTTGGAGGTTTTTATGAAGCTGTAACTCTTCAACTCACTTGGGTAAGTATTTTTGATGATTGCCTGTTTCCCGGACCAGCAACCCAGGCATGGGGTGAGGCATGGCAGGGCCAGCTCTCCCTGTCCCCTCCTGTCAGAAAAGCAGAGTCCCAGAGGCCTGGCCCAGCATCACTCAGTGTCATTGGGCAGAACTGGTGGGACACACGTTCACTCTTGGTTGCAAGGGGCATAGGGAAAGCAAGGACAGGACTGTCAGAATGGCTTAGAGGAGACCAGACACACATGGGGGTACTGGGCACCCTAAACCCCAAGCAAAACTGGGCTCTGTAGTTCAGAAGAGGGGTTGGGTCCTGGGTTGGACATAGTTGGTGCCTGTCCCAAACCTCTCACTTCCAACACTCTTGGCTCTAGATGTGTTTCTGTCCTCCTGATGTCATGTCTGTTCTGTGCTATAGTTTTGCTCACATGTCAAGGTCTGGAATCTTTTTCCCTGGTTTGCTTGCTTGAACATTAGGTGTTGACATTCATTCAAATCCCACATCTAAGGTGTCTTGGTCAGCCTCTCCTCCTCAGAAAGTTACCCCTCTCTTTTTGGGTTATACAGTGTGTCACTGTACATCTCCAGCATCCACAGTTTCTATTTTATTCTTTTTGTCTTCACTTCTAAAGGGTGAACATTGGAGGGAGATAAATTCTTTACAAAATTTCTCTTGCCATATGTTCATCCTAAAGTACAGTGAATGGGGCTCAGTGGTTTCTTCTTAAATTTTGTACCTTGAACAAATGGTCCAGGTCTCCACTCCAAACAGCCAAGGACAGCTGGGGTCCAGAATCCATTGGGATGGATGAAAGAGAGGCTCAGGATAAACAGTAAATGCTTGCGATATGGTTCCAAGTGATTGACCTGGATGTGTAGACCATGTTGCCAAAGAATTATTGATTCAGGGATTGGAAGATACCTATAGCCTTTCTGGTGGTGGTGAGTGATAAGGGCGATGCCGGGGTGGGACTTGACTGTTAGTCACAATATTTGTAAACACTAATGTCTCTGACAATAAACAGGGCTGTTTTGAAGTTTGTCCCAGAAACATGGGCTCATCCCCTTCTTATTCCTTAAACACCCAAGTCTTACACAATCAGGGCCTGCCCTGGGCCCTTTCCACATACCTCACCAGACAGGGTGGCTGATCCCCACAGGAACATGAGGTCAGAGGTCAAAATCCCTGGTCTCCTGAGCTGGAAACCATGCAAAAGGAAAACAAGAAAATTAAGGGCATGTGATATCTAAAGCAGAATTATAGAAAATGATGTGATATTTACACCAAGATATATAGTATACAATGATGAACAAACAGTACAACATGGATATCACTTAAAAATGTAATACTGAGCAAACTAAGGCAAACATAGAAGAATATATAGAATCTGTTCTCCTTCAAGTAAATTTGCTTAAGTGGTAAAATTCAAATGAAACAAAGAGAGAGCTTTACCATAAAAGTCGTGATGATGGTTTTCAGGAAGAGAGAAAAGGGCAGTGACTGGTAGGGGTGGTGGCAATATTTTATTCATTGACCTGGGTGGCAGTCACAGGTGTTGGAGATAATTCATTGGGCTGTACATTGTAGTGTATTTTATTTTCCTTTATGATTGATCTATATCACATAAAGGACATCTATAAAACATAGGCCAAAATAATCATTTACATTGATGAGTATGCATAAAAATAAACAGAAAACATACATTTTATTTTTTGGCTTTTGGGGGGAAAGTTCAAATAGTAATGAAGATTAAGGGAAAATAAGTATATAAGTAAAATAAGAGAGAGACCTTACAACAGATCAATGATGTTTAGATTCCGGAAGCTGAGGAATATACATAGTTCAGACTCTGACAGTGAGGCCAGAATTGAACAAAGCAAAACTTAAATTAAACTAATTAAAAACTAATTTAAAGTATTTTGAGATTGTTCAAATATCAAAAGCTACACCAGGGACAAAGTGGGCATGCCATCTCACTTCCCCTGCCTGGAGTCAGCTGGTGCTCCAGGTTTTCTGTGTGTCCTTCCTGGGAGGCTTTGAGTGGGGGTAAGAGGAAATTAAATGAGTGAACCAGAGAGGTCTGGTGCTGATGCAAATATGGATATAACTGGAGACAGAAAGGCCAGGCTGAAGCATGGAGGCCAGTGCATTGGGGGGCCTGACCTGGGAGCTCAGCGGTGGGCCTGGTCCCAGGGTGCCCAATGCCTGAGCAGTCCCTTACTCCATGGGAGCATGTTCTAAGGGGAACAGAGAGCAGGAACAAGGACTCTTCAGTGAATCAGCATGGTATGTCCCCAGAGGTCCCCAGGTTTCATCCTGACCTCCAAGCTCTTGTTTCCTGCACCTGAACCAGATAGTCCACAGTAGGTTAGGACATAACAGACCTCAGGGCATGAGCTACTGAGGGAAGCTCATTTGCATAAGGGAAGGAGAAACATCATTGAAGAATTTATAGGAAGGCATCATCATGGGAGGGGTGGCAACTTTGCCCCATCTCCTGCTGGCTCATTTCATGATGGTCACCATCCCTGAATCTAGACAGTGGCTTCCTTGGTGAGCCCTGGTGGGCCCTGGAGCTGCGAAGTGAATTTCTAGAGTGTGGGGCTAACGCCAGGACTCAGAGCTCTGACCTCCTGTCTTCCCTCGCCTGCAAGTGACATGCTGAGCCACTACTCTCTCTGTGTTCCCTGGTTTGTCACTGTGGGTCATGCCACCTCTTTCTCTTCTAGCGCTCCAGTGAGGACTCAACATGAAGATGGGAGTGAGGTGACCCTGCCTCCCTCCCCTTGACTTTGAGTTCACCAGCCCTGCAGTGACCCTAGAGGTCTAGTGGTGGGGTTAGGAGTGAGGTTTTGAATCAGGAGTTTCTGGGATCATATCTTAAACTTTCTGTCTATTAGCCTCGTGCACATAAGAACTTTGCTTACCTCTTACTCCCTCAATTCCCCATCCTCAACATGAGGGTAACAGCTCCATCTCAAAAGGTTTTGATGGTTTAGGAGGAATATTAATTTGACAGGTAAGGTTATGCGTGATATAGTTATGGAATTATAAACCACTGGAGAGAGTTTGTGTTAGATGCCAGAACAAAATTGTGGAAGGAGTGGGTGATGAGCAAACACAGACCATGATGAGTCTCAGAGTCCCATCCTCTTTAAGTTCAGAAACTCAGTATTCTGTACCAGAATTCCTGTGCTTTACAACACATCCCATTGTCTTCCACACCCCTGACCCCAGGGAAGTGAGGACAGAAGGCTCTAGGTGTTTTCCCTTGGGAGTTGCCTGGGATTTTACTGGCACATACTGAACACACACTCCTACGTGTGTGCCACCCACCTGAGTGGGACAATGGTCCAGGAAGTAGACAGATATGACCCAAAGGCTCCCAGTGCCTGGGAGGAGCCAGATTGAGCCTTATAAAGAGACCAGTCTTTGCCCAGATGCACAGAACACTCACCTTCTCCTCACTGCCTCCTCGTCAGCTTTGGTAAGTCTGCGCCTATCTCTTTGCCAGGGAGGTTCCTCAGGGCCCAGTGTGTTCTGCTGTCTGCAGGAATAGGGAAAGCAGTGATGGGAGAGGATTCAGGAGCTTGGGTCCAGATGTAATGGGGTTCTGCCTGTAACGGGGCTCTGCCTGTTAGGGGACTTTGCCTGTTATGGGGCTGTGTAACTTTATTCCACTGGGGTCCTGAGGATCTCATCTACAAGATGGCTGGACCGATGCTCCCATTGCTCTGTTAGCCCCTGTGTAACAACTGTGTGGAAACCTCTGTGGTGGGACCTGAGGAAATGACCCTTCCTCTCTCCTTCTCTTCTTTTCTCTCTGGACTCACCTAACTCTCAGACCACAGGTTGGGGAAGACTCAATTTGCACCCCAAGCTTCAGGGAGAGTGGGTGTCTCTATCCAAGTCCGGAAGGTTCTCCTGAACCCATGCCTGGGACTCCCACTCACCTTGCCATGGTGAGAAGATCTGCCAGTATATGGATCAGAAACCCATCAACTAATGTTTTGGACCTTCTGCCCAGCTGAGGGAAAGACCAGTGACTTTCTGTGCACAGGGCTCAGCTCTGACCTTGGCCAAGTTCACAGAATGCCTTGGGAAGTTCCATGTAGGGACATAGCACCAAGGTTTGTTTGTTTTTTCCCAGATGATAAGAAAATGTAATTTTTGTTAGAAGCCCAAACATGTGGGCCATGCACATTTCTTGAGAGTTTTGGAAAGTCTGGGGTGTGAAGGCTGCACTGTCCCATTTCTCTGCTTGGGGTCCAGACTGTTGGTGGAGGTACTTAAATGTGGTGTAGGCTTGGGGTTCCAGAGAGCAGGGAGGTACAAAGGTCATCTGAAGGAGCCTATCACCCCACTTTCCAACCAAGAGTCTAAAACTGAGGCAGGAATTTCTGTTTATCTCAAACATGATGCCAAGGCTATTCAGCAGTCTTTCTTTCCCACTGATGGGGATGGTCCAGGAAAACTTGTGGGAGCTCATCACAGGGATGTATATCTCTGCTCACACTCACCATCCTACTCACATTCACTGCTAGGAGCCTCAGGGCCCGTTTCATTTGGAGCTTGCTTTATGTTCAGAATGGGCACCTCAGGGGACTCATTCCAAGAACAGCCCAGGGAGGGTCAGGCCAGACTAGTCAAGAAGTTATTTTGTCCCCATGACTCTACTAACCCTGACGGTGACCCTGGAGGAGATGGTGTTGATGCTCTTGAAGAGTAGAGTCATCGAAATGCTGTGTTTGGTTCAGGTCCCAACTAAAACGTCAGTCCTTTTCCATGTGGTTGACCCCTACCCTCTCTGCTTCTGCCTCCTGTGGTTCTGTCCACAGTGGGTTTCTCTGTTCTCCTCCATCTCCTCTGGACCCTGACCTGCATGGGACCAGGCCCCAGCCTTGTGCACACTCTCCTCCTTATGAGCATCTCATCCCTCCTCCTAGGATGATACAGTTCCTTCTGCTCCCAACTGAGCCTCACTTCACTGGAAGCTCAGTTCCCACCCCGTTGTCCTGACTGACAGTCCCTCACCTGGGGAGAAGGATAACAAAGGTCCCCGTCTTTCTCTCTGGCAGCTTCCTTGAAAACCAAGATGAGCCATACTCCAGTTGAACAGTCCGTGATGGACTTGATCATCCTGTTCCACAAATACACCAAACCTGATGACAAGATTGACAAGCGGGGCCTGCTGAAGATGCTGAGGGAGAATTTCCCTAACTTCCTCAACGCTTGTGTGAGTCTGGGTGACTTCTCCAGGTTGCTTGGGCCCTGTCATGGGGGAGGACTTTGGACAAGTCAATCCCATTCTGTGATCCTCAATATGCTCATCTGCAAAAAGGCCTAAAAGGACTTTCCTGACTTATTATCAGGATGAAAGAGGTGATACATGTGGCCAAGTGTAAAGGCATCTGGAGATCAAGGGTAGTTATTAGGTGATGAAATAGAAGAGCAAAAACGGTCCCCTCCCACTTGTCAATCTCCACCCAGGAGTCTGAAGCCTCTAGAAGCCTCCATTAGGTTCCCTGAGATCCAAGGGAAGGTGATAGAAAAAATCCCATCGCTGATAAAATTTAACACCTTTCATTATAATGAAAGTGCTCATTCATAGACCTGATTTAGTCTGACAAAATATACTAAACTGATTACAAAAAGAGAGGTTACTAAGTGACAGAGAGAGTAGGTGAGCAAAAGAGGGCACTGAGTATGGAAGATTCAGGAAGGCAAATAGGGGATAGGAGAGGAGGGTTAGGAATGAAGACACAAGGGGTAGGACCTATCTAGTTTCTGGGTAGAACTTAGGTAGATGGGGTTCTGGAAGTGAGTGGGGGGAGCAGGTCTGGGTCTAAAGACCACCCACCCACCAGCTCATTGATCAGTGAGGCTCTGGGCTGAGTCTGCCCACCACCACTAGGTCTCTCTTTCATGCTGATACTTGATTCAAGAAATCTCCCTCAGTGACCTGCAGGGTAATGCTAACGTTCCCCTCATCCCCAGATACCCCCCACTGGCCCACACCAGCTACACCTGTGTGGCCACAGATACTTCTCTGCCCCTCTCTGCCTCCTCCTCCTCCTCTCCACCCATAACACTTTTGGGACTAAATTTGTCTTTTCCACAGGAAAAAAAGGGCAAAGATTTCTTGGCCCATATCTTTGAGGACGAGGACAAGAATCACGATAAGAAGATCGACTTTTCCGAGTTTCTGTCGGTGTTGGGAGTCATAGCCACGGACTACCACAATCACAGCCACGGAGCCCCGCTCTGTTCTGGGGGAGGACACTGAGCCCAGCCCAGCCTGAGGCCTCCAAGAAACAATAAAGTGTGTCTTTTGCCCAGATACAGCCTGTTTCCTGCTTTTCTTTGGCTACTTATGCTGTCAAAACTGCCCCTTCTTGGTGAATGTAATTGTGGATTCTCCATGGGCGGACTTTCCCAGGAATGTGCCAGGCGGGTGCCCTCACTTTGGCCTCCAGCATAACAGACCACCTCTCTCAGCAGGGCCTCTGTCCACCTCTGCCCCTGCTCCCTAGTGCAGCCAGCGTGCCAGGTCCCAGGGTCAGCAGTGCAGAATATTCTGCTGGCTCATCCATGCTTTTACTTCTCAAGCCACGATCAGCATTTGGGGATCCAGGAAATGCAGGGAGCAGGAGCTGAGGGAGGTGTGAACATGGTGCCTCATGCCCATGGGCTCCTGCCCAGCATGACCCCAGGGAAAATGGGGAGATGGCACCACTGAAAAGGGCATTGGGTGGCGGCCATTGTGGGCACATGGGCACTGGGCACTGGTCACTGTGAACGGGACACTCAGCAGTGCCCAGAGGACTGGATCCCTTGTCCTGTGTCCTGGGCTTCTGGGCTGTGTTCTGTCCCTGTGCTTGTGTGTGCGTGTGTGTGTGTGTGTGTGTGTGTTTTATCCTGTGTGGTGTCCCTGTGGAGGAGAGAGCCACCATGTCTGCTGATCTGATCCTGGCAATGCTTTGCTAAATGCTGGGAGCTGGTTGTCTGGGGAAAGCACAGAGTGATGGGTGTTCCAGGAATGAGGAGTAAAGCTAGTGCTGGAGTCCAGAGAGTGTCTGGGCACCAAGTGGAAGAGAAGATTGATGAAGAGTAGGGAAGAGAGTGCACAGAGGGAGGAGAGCTCATGCTGAGCATCCTAAGTGACAGATCCCCTTATCTGTCATAGGAAGGGCCATGTCATTACCCTTGGGCTCTTTGACATCATACAATGTGCTAGGGGCTGAGGATTTCAGAAATAAGAAGGACACAAGTGCTTCCTCAGCAAGCAATGGCTCTCCCACACATGGGGTCTCTCCATGGTGCCAGGAGGCCAGTCAGCACTCACCTGCACATCCAGGGCCACCTCTAGGCATGTCCCTGCTGCTTCAGTAGCTCCCCTCCTTGAGGATCCCATCATCCAGCTGGGTCACTCCCTACCTCCTACTCACAGTCTCCTGCTAACCCCTCAATCAGGCCACATTCTTCAGGGAGAAATTAGGCAACTGCCTCCAAAATCTCCTGTTCCACCTGCAGGAAACTCGGTGGGGGAGGTATTTGTCCATGTGGATGACTCCTCCACCTCCTACTCTCACCGTGTCATTAGCATCTCAGTTCTGAGACCATCACCTCCCTCCAGTGTGGTGTAACTGGACTAAGAATGAGGGGAGGGGCCAGGGTCAGGGGGTATAACCTGTGTGACTTGGGCTGGTCACCTCCCCTGCAGTGAGCTCTAGAGTCTTGACCTTTGGTTAAATGCAGCAGCTTTAATGCTGGAGTCAGACTATCTGGTTTCAAATCCCAGCCCTACCCCTGGTTAGCTGTATTACTCTACCCTCTCTGAGCTCCATCTTTGAGAATTAAATTACTGCATTTAAGAATTAAATTAGCTCACTTATATGAAATGCTTAGAGCAGTGCCCAACTCATGGAGTGATTAGGGTTAGGATTATTGGCAGCTTCAAACAGGACCCAGTAATTCTCACCCTAATAGGCTGGAACGATACCCTTGAAAACAAAACTCTAAAGTTGCATATAAATGTGAGAAATGTGGTGTGTAGTACATTAAATCTCACAAACATTAGGAGGCTGTTAAGAGGCCAGTGTTTCTAACCCAACATGTTAAATAATCACTGTGGCTATAATACAAACCATGTTGCATGGTCTTTAGAACTTTTTATTAAGGTAGGTAACTAATTTTATTTGATAATTTAATACAATATAACAAAGTCAATTTGTGTGTGTGTGTGTTTTCTTTAATCCTTGCCCAAGGATATTTTTTTCCATTGATTTTTAGAGAGAGTGGAAGGGAAGAAGAGAGGGAGAGAGAGAGAGAAATATCGATGTGAGAGAGACACATCAATTGGTTGTCTCCCATGCATGCCCAGACTGAGGCTGGGAATCAAACCTGTAACTTAGGTATGTGCCCTTGACTGGGAATTGAGCCTGCAACCCTTTAGTACGAAAGGCCATGCTGTAACCACTGAGCCCAACAGCCAGGGCACAGAGTCAATTTTTTAAGAGACAATTTTTTAAAAGTGTATCAATTAACACTTTAAGAAAAATATCACACTCAGGCCAAATTGAGAACACGGATTACTAAATGGGATGATAGAGATTGCCAAAGAACATGTCCCCAACTTGCTGTGGGATCTCCAGCAAACTCCTCCCTTATCGGCCTCAGTCCACCCCCCACCCATCAGCTACACTAGGCACAGGGTGATCTCTGGGCACTTCCAGGTCTGCACCCTGTGGACCTGTGATTTGGAGAATCTTTTAGACCAGTGGTTCTCACCTTCCTAATACTGCAACCCTTTAATACAGTTCCTCATGTTGTGGTGACCCCCAACCATAAAATTATTTTTGTTGATACTTCATAACTGTAATTTTGCTACTGTTATGAATCGCAATGTAAATATCTGATATGCAGGATGGGGCATCCTCTCCTGCCCATCCTCTGCAGCTTGTCATCATTTAGGACATGTCAGAGCTTTTCCCCGCCTACATCTTACTCTCTCACTGGTATTGTCTGTCCCCTCCCCTCCCCCTCCTTCTCATTACACCTGCTCTCAAACTCAGGGAGACCTGCTTCTCTGGACCTTTTCACTTTTCTCCTGTCAGTACCCTCTTCTGTCTCTATGCAGCCTGCACCCCGTGATCCACCACACCAACTGCTCTCCACTGACTAAGATCCCTGGTGCTGACTTGCCTCAGGGCCATACCCTCCCTGCAAACCTCCCAGCTTGGACTAATCCCTCCACTTGTCTTCTCTTCTCCTGCACCAGGACTGCTGGTCCTGCTAGGAACCATCCTGCCAGTGCTCCCAGAGCTGGTGTCTGACTTCCTCTCTGCTCAGCCATCCCTGTTCCCCTGTTCCTGTCCTGGGAACTTACCTCCTGATGGTCCCAGTCCATCCCAATATATCTTATTGTTTCCTGACTCATTTCCATTTTTTTTAATGCTTCTCTTTGCCTGAAATATCTTTGAATTCCTCACCTTCCTGTTTAATATGATGTATCTCAACAGACTAGAAATCTGAACTTCTCTCTAGGGATTCTCCTTGGAAGTGGACACAGACTACTTCTCCACAATGAAATGTGCTCTTCCTCCTTTATGCTGCCTGCCACCTAAGCCCACTTGTACTGTGGGAACCACACCACATCATTGTCCCCATATGTCTGTATTCCAAATTAGGGAGGAAAAAAACTCATTTTAGCTTCACTGATCTCTAGTACCTAGCAGTTCCAGCACATAGTCCTTACTCTAAAACTATTATTTTGTTGAAATATAATTGTTAAAATTCTGGGCCATCCCATCTAATGTTAACAGCAATAAAAAATATAAAAACCTCCAGTTTTGAAGTCTGCTGTGAAACTTAGTTAAGGACCCTGGAAAGTGAGGCCAGGTTAAAAAGTGTAATTTGAAAGAGTGAACAGCTGCTGTGGAGACCATAGTCCTGATCTTCCAAAAGGAGGAGTTGCTTCCCACACGGTGGGAGGCCGCACTTCTCAGGACATTGCTGGTATGTAAAAGTCTACTGACCATGGCCTCTAACGTGGACCTAATCTCCTTGAATTCTCCAACCTCTGTTTAATCTCACAATGCTTCCCGCATTGCCATGCTCCATGAAAAATTAGGATGAAGTGGATAGACATACAGTTACTCATTTTCTGGTATGATTTAGGAATCACATCCTGAAGAGAGCTGTGATCCCCAATGGGCTCATGTTCTCCATACTTACCTATGGGAAAGGTCAACGGTAGAACTCATCACATCCTATTAGAATTGTGTTTCATACCTGTGTCAACCCAGAGAGCTGATCTCCTGGAGGCAGGGGCATGAGTCTGGTCCAATGCTGATACCCGTTTGTCCTGATACATTGTAGCGTCTGCCATGGCACGGTGCCCGAGAAGGGTGTTAGTCCGATCTCTCCAGGGTGGTTTGGAGGACTGATGTAAAGAGAGAAGCCAGGCCACGTGCACAACCTTGTTCAGGTGGAAGTAATTGTTCCTGGGCTCAGCTGAGACAGAGAACCTTAGAAAAAGGCCCAGCTGAACCAGTGCTCAGGGGCTGAGGGCTGAGAGAGGTTCGGATACCAGAGGAGATTTGCAGGCGGTGCCTGCAGAAGAGAAGAGTGTGGACCCAGGACCTGGGATATTTCCTGTCCCCTGACACCTCTTTGGTGCTCTGCATCTACAGAGGTGATGCTCAGGATGCTGTTCAGTGGGAGTGGAACAGGGTGGAGTTTCTATCCCAGGTGCAGTGTTCAGGAATATTTTCTGTTGGTTAAACCCTACAATTTTCTGCAAAATGGAAGATGGGGTGGGGGTTTAAGAACATAATTTGCCCATGTGCTGTTAGGAGAGGAAGGAAAATGAAATGTGGTCGCCCAGGGATAGCCCTGACTTAAAGGGACCCTGTCCAAATGCACATTGGTCAATTCCACCAGAGCTACCTTGTCTCGAGTCTCAAGAATTCCACATCCTTAGAGCTAGATGGCTTCTCAGAGATAACCTATTCCCAGCCTATCATTCATAATAACAGCACCGAGGCCCAGAAAAAATGGATTTGCACGACACTCTGAAGGTTCATAGTTAAATTTGATTTAACTTAAATTAAATTTAGTTTTAATTGTATTTCATCCCATTTTCTTTAAAGTAGATTGTATTTTACTCAGTAGTATCAGAAAAATACAATTGAATTCTAAGCATATGTAACATAAACACAAAAATTCAAAAACTGTATCTAGAGGGGGAGCCCTCTCTGCTGTGGCCGCTGACACACTGTGGCCCAGGGTCTGGGACTGCAGCTTTCAAGGGAGCTGAAGTGAGTTGCCCATATGCTGCA